TAAATACAGTAGATGATTTACCAAAATTAGCCATCAATGGAAAAAAAAATCTTTGGACATAAATTTTAATAAAATAAAAAAAATGGAGCATGGTTTTTTGTGTGTTTTTTTTTTAATGAATCACAAATACCGTACTTGTTTTTTATACAACTGAACTGGATAGATGTGTTAACGACTGCATACTTGACACATTGAACATTTTAACTTGACACATTGAACATTTAACTGACTTCCAGCTGTAGACTGAAGTTATTGAAACTCAAGCAGCTAAAACTTCCCATGTTGACCGAAGTCTTTTTGATGACTAGAATATGAAATATGAAAAGGGTATGCTAGAAAGTAAAGGGAGGGGCGTGGTGGCGCAGAGGTTGGAGAAGGTGGGCCTGTGATCGGAAGATCGATGGTTCAACTCCCGGTACTGACAACATCAAAATGTGGGTGGGATTTGTGAAGCACCCACACCTGTCTCCACCCTCATTTGCCCCACTCTGGGTCCTTGAGCAAGGCCCTTTAGCCCCACATCTGCTCCCCTGGGCACCCTAGTTGGCAGCTCTCTGCTCCACACAGAGGGCTGTGGTAGCTCGGTGGTCTGTGGTTGCATCAGGAAGGACATCTGGTGTAAAAGCAATTACCAAGTCTTCGTGTGACAGTTCGTTGTGGCGACCCCTGAAGAAGAAGAAAAAAAATGCTATAAAGTGAAGAGAGAATCAGTCATTTTATTGTACATGGAATTTGGCAGGGGTCATATATTTCTCAGTCGCAACCATCTCCAGAATAATTCTGTAAAAGTATCTAGTGATCTTGGCTCTGCACAACCTCAGCATCTCCTGACCAAATTTACTTTGGTAACTTCAGCTCTCTGAAGAGTTGAGCTCTTTAAACTCTCATGTTTCTCATATCTCCTTCCCAAAATCATTTTCCAGTGTTTACCTACATCATATTACTTCACTGCAGTTCAACTAGACAACGTCCTCGACATTTTGGTAATCAGGGAAGATGCATTTCTGTGCAAAAGACAACCAATAACGGACAGTTTACTTGTTTGGTCTTATGAGACTGACCCGTTTGTATCACCAAACTGTTATGATCATGATATTTGATTATAATTTTTAACTTTGAGAAATAAATTAGTGCTGTTGTAAAAATATTTTTTTAAACTGAGACTTTTATCCAAAGTGAAATCAAGTCTTTGGGTGGCTGATTCAAGCTTATATTCCTCCCAACTCGTCTTCTATAACTCTCTGTATGTCGGTGTTAGCCGGGCTGGATGAATCTGCAGCTGGTGCAGAACGCTGCAGATCGTTTGTAACACTAAGAAACATGAACAGAGCTCCCCGGTGCTGCATCCCTTCACTAGCTCCCTGTTCGTTTTAGGATTGATTTTAAAGTTTTATTGTTGACCTGTAAGGCCCTGGATGGACAACTCCTGTAGACCTGTCTCACCTGCAGCCCTGTGAGCCCTCTAGATCCCTCAGATCTAATGATCACTTGCTTTTGGTTGTCCCAAGGTCCAGGCTGGACCGCAGAGGTGCCTTTTCAGCTGTAGCTCCTAAACGGTGGAAGCAGCTTCTTCGTATCAGACAGGCTTTTTAAGTCTTGTCTCTAAACATATTTCACATCTCAAAAGCCCAAATAATATCTCAACTACAGCCCCAAATCTCAGATGAGTTGAAAAGGATGTTCTGTGGAAGCATTCTCATCTACCTGCCAGCTGTGCTCGAGTGACTGACCACTGAGATCCTGGAACTAGCAGAAACACGGCTCATGACAGCAGAAGGACAGGATCGTCCCTCGGCACCTACAATCGTCTGTCTGCAGCGATGAGGAGCTCGACAGACTGCTGGGAGGAGTGGCCATCGCTCTGGGAGGAGTTCTGCCCGGCATTCGGGCGGTCCTACAGCCCGGGGGAACCGAGAGGCCAGCCGAGTCTGGGTGGACGGATCGGACGGCATCTGCAGCCAGTTTCTTAGGATCCACTGTGGGATGGACTTTTACAAGAGATCCTTCCTGCCAACAGCCATCAGTATCTATAACATCTCTTAATGAAATGAGGATCACGAGTTACAACAACAAATAATTTCCCTTTGGGATTAATAAAGTATTTTTGAATTGAATTTAAATTGAATTTGAATTGAATTGAATATTTGTACTCAATGGCTTTTAATACAGTAACAGAGTTTATTTTATTTATTTATTTACTGCCTCTTTTAAGGGTTTTATTTTTTGTTTTTATCTCATTTCTTATATATTTTTTAAATTCCATGTTTTTTATGATCTCCTGTTTTTGTATTGTCTTCTCACTATTTGTATTACGTGCAGCACTTTGGTCAACAACAGTTGTTTTTAAAAGTGCTATATAAATAAATTGATTTGATTTGAGCTGTTAAGTGAAGGGTCAGCTTTAGCTGTTTTGTTTATTCACCTAAAAGCTGACAAAACAAGGAAAAACTGTTTACCTCTACAGTTCAGCTCAGCTTAGTTTTAGTTATTTGTTGAAGTCTTTTTGTACAAATCACTGAAATAGTTTAATTGTTGAATTTTAAGAGATTTCTTTTTACAAGCTCATGTTAATTATTTTGACAGTTTTGTTGCTGAAGTCTTACATGCTTGTCTTTATCATCCAGAGATCTGCATAACTTCATCAAATCTCACAACTTCATCCAAGGACAGAGCCACAATCACTTAGAAGGAGGTATATCGTTTGGAGTGGGAGCGTTTAACCTGGTAAACCACTCCGTACACAGAGATGAGCTTCTTTCAAGTTTCACTTTAAGAAAATCATCTGGTCCTTTTCAGGTCTTAAACTTGGATAAATAAATCTGCTGTAAATAACATCTGATCAATATCCTGATGCATGCTCAATAATCCAGGTAGAAAAATCCAAAAAAGTTCAATCTGGTCCTCTGGACATTCAAAAAAGCAAAAAACAAAACAAAGCAAAAAAAAAATAA